CCAAAATTCGACTTATATGGTGCTTTGACACCCGCTGAGTACGAATCCGGCGTCAGAAAAATTTTAAAAAATTTCCCCAGGACGTTAGAGTCTCATAAAATTTTGCGACATTTTGCCACTTTGGCTATAACTTTCCCAGACTCAAGTGGACCTTCAACATATTATACCTTTTTCTGACCGCCAGGGGACGTGCTTTCGATCTGGCTATCGAAATCGAGTTTCAATTCACGTTACAAAAAGTCGACTTTTTGACTCCGACACTTTGACCCAAAACACCCCCAAAAGTTCACCCGAGACTCTAGTGTCCAACACCAAATATGTTCCCAACATCCAGCCATCCAACATCACTCCCAGGCCCCAAAACCCCCCACCCCTCTAAAACGCGCCACACTTGAGTGTGGCACCAAAACGACCCATCACAAAAAATTTCCCATATCCACTTACCTAATACCCCCCAGGTCCCATCTTAATCCTCCTAACCGTTCCCGAGATATACCTTAAAAAGCACATTTTGTCCGACAAAATCGGACAATTCACCGTCAGTCGGTGAATTTTTGCGCGCCCATAAGTCCCCAGGACTTCAACCGATTTTCAAAATTTTTTTTTTGTTGAAACCCCCTAATAGTGTACTTAGGTCCCTCCCAGCAGACCCTTTCCGCTCCGACTTACGGTTCACGAGATAGGTACGTGACGATGGCCGTTTCGGTGCCAAGACTTCATCGCAGGGTCCCAGCTATATTTTTCCTGAATGCGCCGTAAAAAGTTGCCCCCAGGATGTCAGGCTTCGGGGAAGCGGCCGGCCTTCGGCCGGCCGATATTATTTTTTAGATTTAATTGAGCTTAATATTTTATATAATATAATTACTTTATACTTAAATATTATTATTTTATTAATTTATAATTATATTTTATCATGTATACATATTATCAAGAACAAATACCTATACTTATGATCAACGACATAACTTTATTGAATTTAATCATAAATTAAAATAAATTAACTACTATCTAAATAAATTACATTTCTAAATAAATTATAAATTATATAGTATTTTCTGTATATTTATCTTCAACAAATGATTTAATTTGTGTATAATTTTAAATATTATTTATTAAACAACTTTTATTAAATTAAAATAAAAAAATTAATTATAAATAAATTATGGTTAACATAAGAATAATTTTTTAAATAATATTAAATTACATTTTCGTATTCAGTATGAATTTTTTAAATAGATTTAATTTCATAATTAAATGAAAATAAAAAATATTTTTAATAATGTATCAAATAAAGATTGATTAAAAATTAATGAAAATAAATTAATTCATATCATACTAATTAAAAAATATATAAAAGTAAAAATTAAAAAAAATTTTTCACTGAGGCCAACTTCGCTGGAATCAAAATTTATTAATAAAATGATTTTAACAATTGACAGCCTTCGAATCCCGACTACATTTTATAAAAAAAATTGTACCCCAAAAGGTGTCAGTTTTTAAATAATTATAAAATTAAAAAAAGACAAATATATTTATAAAATTCTGTCTAATTCTTTTGGAAAGATTTATTACTTATGAAAAATAATAATGTGAATTTTAAAAATTTCAAAATATTCGAATAATTTTAAGAATATTAAAAATATTTTAAAAAATTATTTGGTTAAATTTTATAATTTCAAAAAAAATAAAACAAGCATTGTGAAATTAATTAGTAATAATAATTAATTATTTTATTAAATAAGTTGCTATAAAATTAAAATTATTGGAGACGCAGCAAAACTTAATGATGTAGAATTCTAATACGCATAAATGATATTTTTTCATGAACATATATAATTTACTCATAAATCCCTTATTTATTTCAAAACTATTAAGGTGGAAATTTTCATGAGATAAAAATATAGTTCTACAGTTTTTCGAAGAATTAAAATAAAAACATGTAAAATTAAAATAACTGCGTACTAGAAAAGTAATGTGCGCCGCAAGATTCAGTATTATTATTTTCTGTAATTATATTTTTATCTAATATATAAGATAATATAAAAAGATATGTTAGAATATAAAATTGTTATTTTAAAAAATATAAATTTATTAATTTTATGTATTAGCAAAAAATGTTAATAATATATTACAATTGTTGTCTTCTAATTTTTAAAGATTATTTTAAATTATAATAAAAAAAGAAAATAAAAAAAATTTATATATGAACAAAGTTATTATAATAATTCAATTAAAAAATATTCTTATTGTAATATGTTCTTATTGTAATAAATATAATATAGAAATAACTATAATAACTATATAACTATATTCTTATAGTAATATTCTTATACTAATAAAAAATGTATAATTCTGAATCAAATCAAAATAGCTGTTGGCAGAGCTAACGTCAAAGCTAACGTGGATAAAATAACGTTGAAGAAAATTTCAAAATCTGTAAAAGAATAAAAGCATAAATCAATTATTGCATTATATATGCCCGAAGATCTGTAGGGGGCTGGGTAAGGGTCCCTGATTACCAGGATTCCATAAATGTTTATGAAAATATAATAAATATTAAAAATTTAAATATAATAAATAGTGAATGGTTAAAACTTATTTTTAGTTTAACATAAATTATAATTAATTAAAAATTAATGATAATTAATTTTTTTATTAATAAAAAAAGGTTATTTATGTGTAAACTATTTTTCTAAATTAAAAATATACATTTTACTAAATAAATATTGAATTTATAAATTTTATTAGTATTTTTAATAAATAGGTAAAATTAATGATAATTTATTTCGAATAATATTTTTCTTATTAGTTCTTCAAAAGGATCCTTTTATTCCGAAGAGCTGGAAATTAACAAAATTAATTTAATAAACATTAAACAAATAAATTTATATAATAGTTAATGAATAATTTCAAAATAACAATCATAATTGACAATTTGCAAAAAAAAAAAACATAGTTATAAATTAAATATTCTGTTATAATTATTCAATTTCATTATATATGGTTAATTAAATGACTAATTGCAATTGGCTTATAAAATATAATTATTACTATTAAATTAAAAATAATTTATTTAAATGTTAAATACTTTAATTTAAAAAATAAAAATGATATTGTCTAAGACGTTGACTAAAAAATAAATGCAAATAAATTAATTATTTTTTAGAAGTTTTCAACAGCAACTATCTTTTAAAAAAATTTACACAGTTCAGTCTTTCAAAAATAATATATGATACAAGTAGTTAACCCCCCGTCCGAGTCGCTGGGGGCAGAGGGGTCCGCAAAATTAATCCCTAATTAATTCTATGTAAATATTCCGTTAATTAAAGTCAACCTAAAGGTTTAGGGGCATCCAGTACCATCCCAAAGGGTATTATCAATGATAACTGTTATAAGAAAATGTAATTAATCTCTAATTAATTCCATATAATTAACCAATTAATTAAGCCCATCCTAAAGGTTTAGGGACATCCTGTATCAACCCAAAAGGTCTTATCAGTGATAACTGTTATAAGTTAAAAGTGTACGTGTAATTACTAATTAATTCCATGTAATTAGTACACTAATTAGAGCCACTCTAAAACACATCCGGTACCAATTCAGGGACCCATAAGACCAAAAGGTTTAGGTCCCTTTCCCCCAAAAAGTTTTAAAAATATTTCCCTTTTCCTTTCCCTTAATTTTTCGCGCAGCGTGCGTTCATTTCTTTTGAATTTTTTAAAGATTTTATGGGTCAGCTTAAAAAACTTTTGCTTTTTTCTTTTGTAGTTCTTAAAAATTCTTTTGTTAAAAAATTTTTAGGTAATCTCTGACCTAAAAAAATGTTCTCTTTTAATGGAAAATATTGACCTAAAAAATAGGAAAAATGTTTGAAAAAAATAGGAAAAATAGGAATTTATGGAAATCAAAATGGAAATAGTACTAAGTTAGAGAAAAAAGGGAATGGTAAAAAAATTGAAAACCCTTTGTTTTACTTCCCGTCTAATAGTCCTGGAGTAGTATAAAAGGAGATAATAATTCCTAAAAGTAATTAATTAATATGAACTCCAAAAATTTTCCAAAAATTTTTCCAGAGGTTGAATTTAACGTCACCTCTAGTGGGATCACCATTTCCAGTCCCCGTTTTAATACTCCCCGTTTCATTCCATATGACCAAGTTGGGAAGTGTCGTTCATGTAAAAGCACAGAAGTCGAACTAGATTTTATAATAGTCAAAGAAGGAGTGGTGGTCTATTGCACACGATTCGAAGGAAGTCGTTTTGCTCCATTTGATACATTCTTCGATTTACCTGGGCATTGTTTTTTCAAAGTAAAAAACAAAGGACGGGTTTTTAATGTACCCTACAATGCTACAACACAAACTGTGGCTCCCTGCCCTAAGACCGAGCCTGCTACACTACAACCAACCCAAATCACCAACACAATACCAGAGGAGACATCTCAACCCACAGATTCACTTCCATCAAAAGAGGATATAGACGAATTTTTCCAAAGCTTAAATGCTTCAGTAACCGGAATACCAACTGATTGAAAAGATATTTAAATGATTTTTCTATGTATTTTTTGTATTCATTATGGATTTATTTTCTAATAAAGAATTAAAATTTAAACTTCCTTTTGGAATGATTATAGCTGGCCCTAGTTCCAGCGGTAAAAGTACATTTCTTTTAAAATTCATTGCGGGCTATAGTGAACTTATCGACCCTTATCCAAAATCAATACTCTATTGTTTTGGTGAGATGAACAATATTGTAACCCTTTTACAAAAATCAGGAGTCGGTGTATTTGCAGGCGTCCCTCCAGAGGAGCTGATTAAAAAATATACAAAGCCTTTGCTATTGATTCTAGACGATTTACTCCTCTCTATCAATGAAAAATATTTATCAGAATTATTTACCAAAAAATCCCATCACCAAAATTTTTCAATAATTTTTGTTACACAAAATTTATTCGATCCCAAAATTAAAGTTGCACGCCAAAATTTTCAATACATTATTATAATGAGGTCCCCCAACTCTATGCTTTCTGTCAGAAATATAGGTGTACAATTATTTCCAAGACAGTTGGACTATTTCCTCGATGCCTATCGTCAGGCAACCAAACATCCATATGGATATTTGGTCATAGACATGCACGCTTCATCAGATCCAACTCTACGTCTCAGAACAAACATATTTAAGGACGATGAAGAGAAACTTATTTTTATTCCAAAAGATGGTTAGCCAACTAGTTCATAAAAACATTGATTTTTTAAAATTATTATGCAAGACAAAATCTGAAAGAAAACGTAAAAGACTATTGAGACATTCAAATACAAATCAACTCTTAACAATAGCTGAGATTTGCCTTAATATTGTAAAGTCCAGGTTCCATCTAACTACCCAGCAAAAGAAACGTCTATTACCCTATTCAGAATTTGTTCGTAGTATGAGCAGAGTCAGAAGTGAAAGAGGAGCAAGACATGTTATAAATCAAAAAGGTGGAGGTGTCGGAGTGTTTGCTGCCCTCCTAACACCTATACTTGTTGAGGTCGCAAGGATGATAGGGAGCGCGTCTATAAAAGAACCAAATTTCAACTAAACTCAATTTTAATAATGGCAAATAAATTTATTCTGGTCCCGGAGGAAATTTACAAAGGACTTACAACTCATGACACGGGTGAACCAAATTTGGATTTTATTCGTCGTGGTTTAGAAAAAACCAAACGCAAAAAAGAGACACCTAGTGCTAAAAATATTAATTACAATCAGGAGTTTAGACGATATCTACAGCTAAGAAATGAACAACAGAATAGACCAGTCAAAGTAGAGATGGTGGCTAGTTCAAAGGGTATCATGGCTCGTCCTACAACAAGCTTAACTGAAGAAGATGATATGTGGACTCAAGATTTCTCATCCCCATCTTTTCAAAGTCGATCTGATACGACGTCAACGTTAAAAGAAGAACTACCCTCTTCATTACCAACAGAAAATATTACCACAAAAGATGAGAAACCCGAAATAAAAACTCCCAAGTTCAAGAAAAGAACATACTCTTCCAAAAAATTTAACACAGTTAAATGGGCCCAGAGGAAACCCTCAAGTAGGAGAAGACCTATAAATAGGTTCAGCCCAGCATTATGGAGATAAAAATGGGAGACTATACAAAACTTTTGCAAAATCTTTACAACAATCCTGAATCGCCCGCAGCATTTTCAGGTGTTGATAGACTCTGGAGAGAGGCTAGAAAAGTCCTCAAACATATACCTAAAAGAGTTATACAGGATTATTTGGAGGGTCATAGGACATACACGTTGATGCGCCCGAGGCGCATTCATTTTAAAAGGGCAAAAACTATACCTGCAGGTTTTATGACAGATGTTCAAGTTGATCTTGCAGATTTTCAAAAAATATCAAGACATAATCAAGGAAATAGATATTTACTATTAGGAATCGATGTCCTTTCCAAAAGAATATTCGGAGTCCCAGTAAAATCAAAAAACGGAGAGAATATGTTAACAGCATTTGATTTATTATTGAAACAAATGCCTATGAAACCTCATCGTATATTTTCGGATAAAGGAACAGAATTTAAAAATTCTCTAATGAAAGAATTTTTTCAAAAGGAAGAGATTCAAAAATTAGAGGCAACTCACTCTACCGTTAAGGCCTCCTTGGCTGAGAGAGCTATACGTAATATTAAACAGAGAATTTATCGGTACTTTGCACAAAATAAAACTCTGGATTGGGTTCAAGTCCTTCCCAAAATTATCGAGGGAATAAATAAAGCAAAAAGCAGAGTACATGGTATGCGACCTATAGACGTAAATTTTGATAATGCTCAAGATGTATGGGAAATGATATATGGTGACGTATTTTCAAATAAAAGGATGAGACCCAAGTTAAAGAAAGGAGATTATATCAGAATGAGCGTAGGGAAAGGAGTATTCGAAAAGGGATACATCCCAAACTGGGGAGATGAAATATTGCAAATTGAAAGAGTTAAAGATAATGTTGATCCCATTCGCTATAAAGTCCAAGATGAAAAGGGTGAAAAGTTTAAAGGATCATTCTATAAAGAGGAATTAGCTCGCGTTCGTAAGGATGCTGATACTGAATATAGAATTGAAAAAGTTGTGAAAAAGAAAAAGAGACCAGATGGAACATATGATCTTTTAGTAAAGTTTATGGGATATCCTGAAAGAGAGTGGATTCATGAGACGCAGTTAGTATAAAAGAACAGATTTTTTCACTATTCACAAGTAAAAAATGTCAAACACATTTTTTGTCTATCTTCCTAGCAATGTCCCCGATTACCCCGATAACAAACCAAATAAATTTAGAGTCCATTTACCAAAACCCTTATATTTTTCTGGTGACTGGGTTTGTGGTCTTCATAGCATTAGCTACCCTTATTCGTGGCCTTCAACTATCGGTACCTTAGATGAACAATGGATTGACATCCATTTTACTAGAAATGATGGGCAAGCTAGTGTTATCCGTGTCCCCATCCCTAGAGGTTCACATACTTCAACAGAAGAGTTGCTTCAATTCATAATAGCTACTTTACAACACCAAAGTAATACATTAGAATCTTCGCCTTTGGATTTACCAGAAACATTGGTTGATAAACCCAAAGTCCGCAGGCCTAAACGTAAGTTATCCCCTGAAGGTGAACTTAAATCACTCCCACGTCTATCGCCTGAAGGCGAACTTAAATCACTCCCTGTTCTATCATCCGACGAAGAGGAGCTTAAAAATCTTCCACTTCTATCATCTGATGAAGAGGAATTCAAAACTTCGCCTCGAAGCAAATCACCAGCATTTGAAAAGGAACAAGAAAAACCAGTTAAACAGCCAATCCAACCCCCTACGCAACCTCCAAAACCTACTCCTCAACCTCCACCACCCAAAACAAAATCTCCAACTCCATCACCACACCCGCCACAACCGACTCCTCAACCTCCAAAACCTACACCACAACTTCCAAAACCGACTCCACAATCTCCAAAACCTACGCCAGAAACTTCACCTCAACCTCCGAAACCCACTCCACAACTTCCACAACCTCCAAAACCGACTCCTCAACCTCCAAAACCTACACCACAACTTCCGCCACAACCCTCACCACAACTTCCACAACCTCCAAAACCTACACCACAAACTACAACTCAACCTCCAAAGCCGACTCCCCAACCCCCAAAACCTACACCACAACTTCCGCCACAACCCTCACCACAACTTCCACAACCTCCAAAACCTACACCACAACTTCCACAACCTCCAAAACCGACTCCCCAACCCCCAAAACCTACACCACAACTTCCGCCACAACCCTCACCACAACTTCCACAACCTCCAAAACCTACACCACAACTTCCGCCACAACCCTCACCACAACTTCCACAACCTCCAAAACCGACTCCTCAAACTACAACTCAACCTCCGAAACCTGCAACACCTCAACCTCCAAAACCTACAACACCTCAACCTCCAAAACCCACTCCACAAACTCTACAACAGCCTCCAAAACCCACAACACCTCAACCCCCGAAACCCACTCCACAAACTCTACCTCAACCACCAGAATCTGCTCCTCAAAGACCAAAACCCTTCCCTCAGCTTACGACTCCTCAACCTCCAACACAACCTTCTCTGCCCACTCCTCTACCTTTAACACAAAATGAAGAAGAATTAAGATCTCTATCTCCTTCTTCAACCGAAGGGCAATCCTCACCTAGTTCACCTACACTTCCAAAACTTCCAGAACCTGAAGCTATCCTTAAAGATCCTCTGTGGACTGAAGAAATGGAACATGTACTAACAAAAATTCTTGGAAAAACACCAACAAGACAAGCCAGAATAAACTATTTACCAAATATGCCAGCACTTTTGCGTCAGTATGGTAGATTAAAAAAGGACAAAATAGATTCAACAGTCCAAAAACAAATTATTGATGCAATTGAAATATTTTACCACGCTGACTTTGAAAGATTTAAAGTCAAGTTCAATCATCCAAAGATAAAGTATCTTTCCTTTTCAAATCAGCTTGGTTATGTGTTAGGATTTGAAAACCCTGATATGGTTCGAAATAATGAAGTAGCCAAATATGGCTGTGATTTACGCGGAGGATTTTCAAGTTTTGCAGTATACTCTAAGGGACTTACCGAAAATATGATTATCGGTAACTCACTCAGCTCGCTATTGAGAGTTGTTTCTGTTGCAGGAGCAACACCTGGAGAATATTATGAAAAAATTTACGATTCACCCATTTACTCAAGGGTCCTACCAAAGGAAGTTAATGAGATTGAGATTGAACTTAGAACAATGGATAACGGACGACTAGTACCATTTGAATTCGGGACGGTGCTACTGGTCCTCATATTTAAGAAGGTCATAAATTTCTAAATTTCATTCTAACGAAAAATGGTTCACATTTTATTTGATACAAACACTGTAAGTTATGATGATTTTCTCCCAATGAGGGGAGATGGAGTCTCAGATGAATACTTCAAAGGAGCAGCTCCTTTTCAGAGAGGATATGGACAAAAAGGAGCCGGAGTTGGAGACATTATGAGAGGTATTTGGAGATATTTCCTTCCAATCATGAAAAAAGTAGGCACTACTGTATCAGAGGAAGCTCTAAATACAGGTCAACGAGCACTAAGTAGGGTTATTCAAGGAGAACCAGTAAAAGAAGCACTAGTCTCGGAAGGAAAAAAGGGAATTGACACAGTATTAGAGAAAGGAGGCTTACCCAAACAATTTGGAGCTGGAAGGGGTATAAAAAGGAAACCAGTTCCCAGTCATCAAAAATTTCTAAAAAGAAAAAGATTAAGATCTGATACCTTTGGATTTTATTAAAATGTCCTTTCATAAAATTGATCGTGATAGTATAAATTCTATCACAAACGCACTAGATTTTTTCCAAGTTCCACCTACAAATGTAAGTATTTCATCGTCCAAAAACTTTGAAATCCTACCCAGCAATCCTCTATCAGATACGCCTTACCACTTTAAAATTCATAGCAGTCAAAATTATATAGATTTATCTAAAGTCTATCTATTCACAGAGTTTCGTATTAAAAAAGTAGATACCGATGGAAAATTGACAAACCTTGCAGCAACAGATAATGTTGCACCAATACAACTCATAGGTCAAACTTTTATTAATAACATGAGAATTAATGTAAACGGTAGAGAAATTTTTAATTCAAATTCCCTCTATGCGTACAAAACATACTTTTCACATGAACTGTCTTACTCTCAAGGAGCAAAAAATTCTCACTTAAATGCTGCAGGCTATTATTATGATTCAGACACAAATCTTGAAGGAGGCACTGCATTCACTACAAGTAAAAGTCTATTTTCTCTTAGTAAAACTGCGCAATTTATTTCAAAACTTGACGCAGACATATTCAATCAGCCTCTATATTTAATCAATCATTGTGAGATTGACGTTGAGATACTCCCAAATGAGGCAAAATTTGTATTGATTGCCCCACCAGCTAACGGTGTAGCACAAACAACAACCTACCAATTTGAAGTTGTAAGCTGTAAGCTCTATGTGAAAAAGGTTGATCTGATGGATGGACTCTCTTTAGATATTGCAAGAAAATTAGAAACTAAACCTGCTCGTTATGCGATAAGGAAAACAATGATGAAACCTCTTTTCATAAGTCAAGGTCGTTATGAATTTAATGCAAACCTATTTATGGATCAAATTCCTAGAAGACTCACACTAGGACTAGTTGCAAATTCAGATTATGTTGGAAATATTGGACGAAGTCCCTTCAACTTTCAACATTTTAATGTTAGAGAAATTAGTATTATTGCTAATGGAAGACCTTATCCCCAAGCACCCTATGACTTTGACTATAAGAATGGAAGATATGTTAGAGCCTTCCACGATATGAATGAAGGTACAGGCTTAATAAATTCCAATGAAAACAATGGAATCACTTACCAACAATATGGAAAAACACATTGCATATATGTATTTAACCTAACAAATAGTGGTGACGATAATAGTGGAACATTTGACTTGATCAAAAATGGGACGACAGCTGTGCATATTAAATTTAGTCAACCTGTTCCAGATGGTGGAGCTATGCTCATTGTGATGGGTGAGGCAGACTCCCTTATAATGCTGGATAAAAACCGAACCATAGCTAGTGATACAACCATTTGAAAAAATGAAAAGAATTTTATTATCTTTATTTTTAATCCGTTTGTTTGCTCCGAGTGTTGAGCTAACTAAAGAAGCTATGGATAAATTGGAAGAAATTCCAGAGTATTCAAAATATTTGAGAAGAGCAGGATACCCTGAAAAGAATTACACTTTTGAAAGAATTTCAGCACCAAGTCCACCAATACTAACTCTCCCAGCAATTGAATTATTCAAAGAAGGACCACAAGACAATAGTTTTTACAGTCATGTTTTTTGTTGGAGTATGATTGGACTATAAATTATGCTTTTTGTTAGCCTAGTTATTTATCAACTGCGCTCAGTCTTTTGGTTAAAAACTAATATTCCTAAAAATAATGTACAACAGTCAAATAGCAACGATATTGAACTCCAACCCCTACACAACTCTAATCTTTCAAGGATGTTTTCCATGTAATACTCTTCCTGAACCGATGCAAGGAAAAGTATTGATTGTAAATTTAGACCCTCAAGGATATGAAGGTTCACATTGGATTTCCATATACGTACAAGATAAAGGAAAGGCCATCTATTTTGATAGTCTAAACCTTCCAACAAGTATATGTATTATAGATTCGTTTTTAAAAAAATTTTCTATTGTAACTAGAAATGCTAGAACATATCAGTCCCCTTATTCAAATTATTGTGCCCACCACTGTATTTCATTTACCTATTATCTTTCAAAGGGATACAACTTTGATGAATATTTAACTTTATTAGATAAACAAAATGATCCAGATTTATTTGTACAAAAAATTGTGAAAAAACTTATAAATTATCGAGATAGTTCTTTGTAATATCTGCACATTCTGGACATAGATAGAAAGCATATACAAAAGATTTTTCATCTTTGGGAAGCAATATTTCTTCCTGCATTTGTTTCACAACAAAACCAAGACAATCAGAGCACCATTTCCCTGCTCTAAAGTAATTGATGAGAATACTTAGTCTTGCCCCCATGTCAAGTTGAATGTGATTTTTTAGAGCATCATTAATTGAATGCACATAGGTTCTTATTTTAAATTCGCGATATTCGCAAACTCCTTTGACGAATCTTATGATTTCGTAACTTTCCTCGCTCATTTTAATAATGAATTGTGTTTAAGATTCAAGTCGATTAAATAGGTCACACCTCACAGCAGGTAGTAATAATAAATTAAAAATGTAACTAGGTCAAATAAAGGATTATGAAATCAAGAGATCCGAGGCATATATAAGCAAAAGACTTTGAATAAATTTCATTCTTCATTTTTTAAATTCATTCAAAAATGGTCCGTGTAATCGATGAAATCGCTCGCTTCCTTGAATGTTCAGTCCTTAGCCTTAGCGGACACCTAGTAAATCCTCAAACTCGTATACGAGTTATGAAACAATTTCTGGACCGTAAAGTCCAAACAACATATTTAAACAAAAATTATCAAAGAAAAACCTTTCTATTCGGAGGTTTGACAAGAAAAGGCGCAAACAGAATTTTTGCCTATGGGCGACTTAGACGACCATATAATGTTACTATATCACAACATTTTTACACAAGACATCGCATCCGTCTGCGCAACCCATATTTAAATTGTGTTATTGATCGCAGGCCGTTTGAGAAGGATCGTTTTTATCCTTTGGAAGTCTTGGAGTTCGTTGATGAAGAACACATGGATAAGATAAATCGTTTAGCAGTAGAGATGGGACGTTTAACACTACAAGAGGACAAATCAAAAACGGACTCAATTTCTTCACTTGGAAGTCCAACAATATTTATGAACAAGGAGGATGATGATGAAATTTATAGAGGAGACCTAAGTCAGGACAAATGGTAACGATATCCATGCACCCTATATGTATATGCACCCCCTTATATGTACCCCTATATACATTGAAAAATGATAAAAATGTGATATTTTTCCTTAATTCCGCAATTTTACCCCTAAAATTGTAATGTTCTTTTCCTTAATTCCGCACTTTACACTTAATTATGTAAATGTATTCTTAAAAATTGTAAGATATTTTCCTTAATTATGCAATTTTACCCCTAAAATTGTAAAGGTATTTCTCTTAATTCTGTAATTTATTTTATCTTAACTTTTCTTAATATTGTATTTTTTAAATAATAAAAAGCATATTATAAAATTTTTATCACGAATAAAAATTAAATACAATAATGTGTAAATAATGAATAAAAATAGAAAAAAAATAGTGAATAAAATTGGGAAGGAGAATGGCTTCGCCATTCGACAGACATCACCAAACTCAACCAGGGACTTGAGAATTTACTCAAGTCCGCTACCACCGATTTTCAATGCGAGGATTACCACACAATATGTGAATAACACACTTGATATTCATCGACAAGTCAATGAGTGGTGTGACTCGCAACATTACGATGGTTGGTATAGAGTTTGGGTGCCCATACCCCTGGCTACTTTCCATCTCCAAGTTAATTTGGGAAAAATTACAAGTTGATATATCCAAAGTCCAATACAGAATAATCAGAAGGGCGGACTACTCCCTTTCCGACATAGGGCTTATAAATTTTCTTAAGAGGAAGAGTGGTAACTGATCCATCTTTAACAGATGGACGTAAAAAATTCGGGTAAGAAACAATAATAGGATCATAATCACCTTCAGCAAAGTTGAAAACTTTTTCTTTAAACGTATCATACCGCATCCCTTGATTGTTGATTGCATCCCAGTTCAAAGTCATACCGCGCACCTTGAGCACGTAGACAGGTTCAGACCCAGGCTCATCTTTCTTTTCCATCTTCAAGCCATATTGTTTCGCGCCACCAGAGCAGAATTCCAAAATTTTGAAGGCAGGGTACTCATCTGTGAATTCACCCAGATGAGGACCAAGTTGAAGAGGGCAGTTGTCAATCGGATGTGCGAAGATTAAGGAGTCAGTGTCGGTGTATAGCAATGTGCAGCCAGGAGTTCTCACAACCTGTTGCATAGCATGTAGCAAGTGGATTCTCGCTGCTGATGTGGTCCACAACGAGATGATGACATTTGATGAGTCATGTTCTTCAACAAATTCCTTCTTTTTGGTGTAGGAAATAAGCAGTAGATCATCAGTTAATTCTTCAAAAAAGTTGATAATTAGTGAAGGGTCGTTTGAATATTTGGTGTACACAGCAGGGTCGTCCGTAACCACACATTGTGACAATCCAAAGTTACGGAGAGAGAAGCGACCCCATAAGTTGTTGAGGCATAATTTAGCTTGCGTCCTCTTTCCTTTGTTGACCTTCATTTTCTCTCTGTCGATGATGATACCAAACTTTTCTTTGCACTCCTTGATGAAGTTCTCTTCCATCTGTTTGTTTCCTTTGATGTCGTTGTCAAAGCCGCTTGCGTGAATTTTTTGTGCCATAAATTCACGAATGTAAGGACGAAAGAGGTTGTCGTCATAATTTTTATATTCCAAGACTCTGAAGACTTTGGTGACCACGTAACCTTCCTTCAATGCTTCGTTCAACTCAATTGATGTACAAATTGAGACCCATCCACGTTGTTGGTCTGTGTGTTTGCAACTGTAGTCCTCATTCACATCCCCATTTGGATTTTCCTTTGCACAAGTGGAGCAAAGGGGAAATAGAAGTCTTTCATCGTCATCTCCAATTTTCATAGGAAGTACTGGTACGTCGATGCTGCGTGGAGGTATCACAAAAATTTTTAGAAGAGCCAGTTCATAAGTGTTGTCAGATGGTTGAGTCCAGTTGACATCGTTGTTTAGAATATGGACGACAGGGTGACCAATTGGGTAGCGTGT